TATCAGCCAGCTCCCAGTAAGCCCTACGTTGAACCCAACATCATCATCAGTGGACAGCGTCTCAACCCGGTGGATAAATTTACTTACTTGGGCAGCACCCTCTCTAGATCTGTCGTCATGGATGATAAAATGAATGGCAGACTGGCAAAAGCTAGTGCCCTATTTGGCAGGCTCCGCAGCACTGTTTGGGACAGGAGAGGTATCAGTCGAGAAACAAAGCTCAAGCTCCCGACACTGCTCTATGGATGTGAAACGTGGACTGTCTACCAGCGTCACGCCAAGAAACTGAATCATTTTCACACTACCTGCCTCAGGAAACTCCTCGACATCAGGTGACAAGTCAAAGTCCCCGACACCGAGGTCCTCGCTAGAGCGAACCTACATAGTATCTTCACCACTCTGATGCAGTCTCAGCTCCGTTGGATGGGACACGTAGCCCGTATGGCAGACCACCGGCTCCCGAAACAAATATTCTTTGGAGAACTCACGATAGGCAAGCGCTCCCAAGGAGGCCAAAGAAAGCGCTACAAAGACTCACTGAAAGTGGCACTAAAGGCCTTCAGCTTAAACCCTACTCAATGGATGCAGACAGCCCAGGACAGAGCCAGATGGAGAGCTGCTGTCAAGAAGGGGGCTAAATCCCATGAAGCTAAGAGAATAACCACAGCTGAGACACGCAGGCTTATCCGAAAGAGCAACATTAGGTCATCGCCTGAAGCAACTATTCCATGCCCACAGTGTCATAGATTATTCCGAGCAAGGATCGGTCTAACAAGCCACCTAAGAGCTCACCGTAATCATAACCCCCCCCCTCCCCCGCCCGCTCCTAACCGGATGATTCGATGGTCCTTGTCGACTTCGACGGACGAACAACAACAACAACAACATAGGTAGCCAATGAAGGGAATGGAGTAGTGGAGTGACGTGATCACGTTTTTTTGCTTTTAAAACTAGCCTAGCAGCTGAGTTTGAACTTTCTGCATTTTTTCTATTCAGTGTTTTGGTGAACCTGACAGAAGAGAGTTGCAATAGTCAAGATGAGAGAGAACAAGAGCACAGACTAGAGTTTTTGTAGCGCTAACTGTGAGGTAGTGGCGTATGGAGCTGATCTGACCGGATAGTGGTGTATGCTGAACGACAAATGTTAGATATGTGTTTATCAAGAGACATGTTGTTAGAAAGAATATAACCAAGATTCCTAGCAGAGGGGGTAAACTGTACGTCAGAGTTACCTACTTGAAATGAGGTAGGAAGAGTTGAGGTAGAGGATGATGTGTTATTGTGGATGAGGAGTGCTTCCATTTTGTCATCATTAAGCTTCAACTTGCTTAGTGTCATCCATGACTTGACATCATCAATGCACCCCCGCAAAGTCTGGACAGCGGATCCAACAAGAGAAGGATGGGTATGCTTGTATAGCTGCATGTCATGTGCAAATGACTGGCTCTCAACAGCATGCCTCCCAAGCAAGAGGAGCAGTGGTCTGGTATACAATGTGAATAGAATCGGGCCTAAAACGGACCCCTAGGGTACTTCGTACACCAAATCAGCACTGCCTGAGAGACAGCCATCGACAGAGACCGCCTGCGTTCTATCGGAGTGGTAGGACCTAAACCAAGCCAAAACTGAGCCAGAAATTCCAAAGTAATTTTCAAGGGTTTTGAAAAGGATTACATGGTCAACAGTGTCAAAGGCCGCACTGAGGTCTAAGAGGATCAGGATGGAGATATCACCACTGTCCAATGCGAGCAAGAGGTCATTGGTCACTCTCAAGAGAGCCATCTCTGTGCTGTGGAAATGTCTATAGGCCGACTGATTAGAACTGAGAAGAGAGTGGTCAATTAAATAAGCAAAAAGTTGATTTAGAACTAGTTTTTCAATAACTTTAGATAAAAATGATAAGTTAGATACAGGTCTATAATTTTTTTAATTATTTTCATCCAGACCAGACTTCTTAAGCAATGGTTTGATGACAGCTGATTTACAAAGAGGGGGAACAGTGCCAGAAGACAAGCTTTCATTTATTATGTGGGTTATCGTTGGGAGCAAATGATCTAATGACTCAACCAACAGGGGGGGTGGGGATGGGATCCAAATAACATTATTACAGCAGATGTATCTTAACTGATAAGACAGTAAGAGGAAAACCCTGGATCAGATTTGAACATTTGGTCATTTGTGCTACTGGGCTAGTCACTCAGTCCATTAACCTGTGTGGTTTGATGGTGCTACTCTTAACCATTTTGGTCTATTTTTATCTCTTAATATTTCTTTTAACATAAAAGCTGACATTAGTTTTAGTAATTTTGCAAGGAAATAAAATTTAATATTGTATAGGTCAATAGGATAAAATAATAATTCCTAAATTTTGGAGAAAAATATTTGTATAAAGTAATAATCTCAAATCCCAATAATGTATTTTAACTTTATGATCTTGCTAGAGGGTTAATGTCCTGATAAGTTTTGTTCCATGATGCAGGAGACTTCCAGTCATCTCCACCCCCCAGTTTACAGCAGTAGCAGCAGCATAGATGGTAGCTCACACCATCCAAGAACAATCAGTATAGGCAGCTCTGACCTAGGGGAACGTAACAATGCTCCCTCTCCTATGCTTGTTCACTCAAAGAGGAAAACATTAGCAGACCAACTGAAAAAGTTAGTAACAAATTTACAGTTTAAATATTATTTCCCCAAATAAGTTAATGAATAATGCAGTAAGAAGAAAAAATTTAACTTCAACTAGGGGCCATCCTTATAGTACGTATGCAAAAAAAAAAATGCACATTTGCCCAACCACCTTATACTTATGTACAATGAGCTTTGGACAACCACCTTATGCTTATGTACAATAAGCTTTAGACAACCACCTTATGCTTATGTACAATGAGCTTTGGACAACCACCTTATGCTCATGTACAATGAGCTTTGGACAACCACCTTATGCTCATGTACAATGAGCTTTGGACAACCACCTTATGCTATGTACCTGGGTTGTGGCGGCTTCCTCACAGTGGCATTGGAAAATATTACAGGTGACAACAGTAACTTACTTGAGTACCAATAACTATTTTCAGTTACTAGATGACACTTGCTGATGTACATATGTGTATTATTTATTTTACCCAATCCTTCATTTTATTATTTCTTTAAATGTATTCACAATTTCAAAGTGAACATGTTGCCTGGTGAAAACCTAAATTTGCATCAACAAAATTTACAAACCACTGGTACAAAACAAAATATGTGGAATGTATAGTAGACTAAATGTTACTGTTACTATATTACTCACTACTGCTACTACTTAATAATAGTAGGCCTAATAATAGAGCAATATCTAATGAATTAATAAGGCAACCTTATGACGATAATTCTTACAAAACATTATGTGATATAAGTACAGCATTATAGATATAAATATGCCATTAATGGACAGTCAGAATTTTAGAAAAACTATGCTTTTACGCACTGGCTTCTCTTTTGAGAAATTAATCTCCTATTTTAATTTTATTGGCTCGTTCAAACAGTGCCTAACAAAGGACGATACCATAGAGTCAACAATAGTAAAGATATGACACCCAAAACAGTTGCTAGTTACAATTAATAAGATTTATTTAAGTCTTAATATAATTTCAAAAGAAAAGAAAATATAATGGCAATCATCATCTTACAGTATGGTAGATCTTGTACCGGTACACAGTTAACACAGTTAGTACAATGGGCCAATGAATATTGATGAATGAAGAATGCGAATAAACACATATAAATACACAAAGAATAATACAGGTCTCATGAAGTTAAAACTATCTATCTGAATCCCCGTCTCTCCGTATCTGTCACTCCCTTATATACATGTAGCGTAAGACGCTTCCAGAAAAGACTTATGACATGTTGTTTACATTTACATTCGACAAGATACTAGGAGACAGTCTAACCATGTTTAATTGGTAAACATGGTTGTAAACAAGATACATCAAAGAGATTTAATCATGCCCACAACAAACGTTACCGTCTGCTAGTAGTCTAATGCGTGGTCAAAGAAAGTTCACACACGGGGAATGTGTGCTACATAACAATCCATAAGTTGTGAATAACTGTACATACTGTCAGACATACATGAACACAAAATTTCCAAAATAGAGACACACACCCCCCCCCCACTCCCCACATTGCATAGGGACTATTAAATGGATGGCCTCAAATCTTGTTATATACAAGTAATAAAATTGTAAAATATCCAAATATGCAGGGGAATGTGTGCTACATAAAAATCCATAAGTTTTGAATAACTGTACATACTGTCAGACATACATGAACACAAAATTTCCAAAATAGAGACACACCCCCCCCCCCCCCACTCCCCACATTGCATAGGGACTATTAAATGGATGGCCTCAAATCTTGTTATATACAAGTAATAAAATTGTAAAATATCCAAATATGCAAACTTGGTGATATAAAATCATAACTGCTCAATTATTAGAGTTCTGAAATATTTATTTTAACGATAGAATGCTTTTAACTTTATTCTCTCATGTGTAATGAATTATTTACATTGAATTTTTTTTTTTTTTTTTTTAATTTTCAGGTTTAAATTTGCCTATTTAAATAACGTTTACTTTATATAATTTTTCCCTAGATTTACCAGCAATGTTCGCAGAAGGCAGTTAAGTGGATCTGAGTTTCCAATGGATGAAACTGATCAGTTTGTAGGCGAGAGTGCAAGACCGACTGACAAAGAATTGGCAGCAGCCCGCAATAACGTCAGGTTTCTCATAGGACTTGGAAAGGATGATGATGGCAGTACAGCGGACCTGAAGAGTTTCTTTCTAAGAGCAGAAGAGAAACCAGAGCAGACAAGTGAACAAGATGAGCAGTCTTCTCATAAACAGAAAATAAAGAACTTTGCAGCTCAAGCTGTTCGTTTTGTTGAACCCATTGTACATTCAGCATATGATCAAAATGAGAGTATAGTCAACTTATTGAAGCAGCCTTCCATTGATGTGACAGCTAAAATGGACTCAGAAACTCACACCTCAACAAAACTTCCAGAATACTCTGTAACTGGCAGGGAGGGGGGAGATTTTGGACTGACACCTGATGAGCTTGAGGTGTCATTGCCAGCAGATCCACCGGTACTGACAGTGAGTATGCCCTCGAGTGTTGTCTTCATGAATCAGCCACCCAGAAGGGGAAGAAACAGTTTGAGCAACCAGCCTCTGACCCTAAATACAACGCTTGCAACCACTACCTTCACCCCTTGCTCCATGCCCCAGTCATCAGCATGTTTCACCACTCCAAATCCTGAAAACATCCCACCAGCCGCAGTGCGTGATCTGACATCAATGTTCTCACCATTGATTGGAGAGTATACAAGCATCACTGACAACATTGACACATCTTGTCTCATTGACAGCTCCCCACCGTGTTCACCAGTACCAGCTTCAGGCATCATGTTCTCTGTTGTTGAAAGCTATCATGAAGTGGATGCTAAACTTAAAGAGAAGTCTGCAGCCAGCAGTAAACAGTTGGAACTCAAGCAAGCAGAGGAGATGGAACATCAGAGAATGGAGTCTCTTATCCGTCACAGATTGAGGCAGATCTCACAGGTATCTGACTTACCTTTCATTATTATCTGCATCAAACTCATTAGTGTGCTTTTGTTTTAGTATTAGATTTTTAAAATATTCACATGGTCCTTAAAACTTAGATTTTGCACTAGCATCTTTCATAGAATTGTTTGATGTTTGGCTAGTTGAGACTACTTGTTTATACTCTATTATTTTTATGTTTTAGGAGCTAAAATACAATTAGAATTTAGTTAAATAACATATGTATGGAAAATATTTTTATTTATAAGTGTAAATTTTATTTTATAAGAGTGTGCTTTTTAAATATTATTTATAAGCTGTGTAGCTAGATAATGTAGCATCTTAGAGCTACAGTTTAACTTACTTTTTCTAATAATTGGATTGCTCTGACCATTTTAATGAAATGAAGGCTACCTTTCTGTTCGCAGCCAGATTGGCTAATGTTGATGGGTAGGTTGTGCAATATTAGGAGGAATCTGCATGACTTAACAATTTTTTTTATGGATTGAGATCTAAAATAATGTCATAAGGATTTTGGTAGTAATTTAATGTGAATTAATGAACTAAAACGGTTTGATCTATAACAAATTCACTAGATGTTTCCCTTCTAACTTAAATTCATCTTAATTTGTGGATTATTAACTGGAGTACATCCTCAGTAACAGTTGGTGCTAACTTAAGGTGATTGATGCATGATAGGAAACTATATTAAGGTCACGGTTCTTTAAGTGGCAATGAATATGAATATGTTTACAATATTTTGTGTGGAGTTGGTGAATAACTTGTTATAATTATTTTACTTTTTAGATGTCAAACTTACAAAATTATTTATTTTTTTAAAATTAAGAGGTATCTAATATTTTTCTTGTTAACCAAAGCAAGTTCATACAAAGAGGGTACTGGTTATTAGAAATGAGGCTGCTGGGTACATTTTAAAATTGATAGTACAGGGAAATGTTCATAATAAGGAAGGGAGCTTTCCTACCTTTATTATTCCAGGTCATAATCATTTCAGATAGTGGAGAACATTTCAATAACTTGATTTTCTTTTTTCAAAATTGACTATCAAATTGTTAAGTGATGACTGTTCTGTTAGTGTGAGTTGTTATCTTTTGGGAACATGAGCCACTCATCAATCAGTGGCAGACAACTGTGTAGGCCTACTTTGAACAATACAAATTTCTAACTAGACAAGGACTATTGTGGTTGTTGCTTGATAGAAAAGAAAATATTTTGTGATGAAAATAAGCAAGTATGAGAATGATTGATGTGTGATGCTATAAATATTAACCAGCCAATCAGAATGACTGTTTTGTGTGCTGTTCTGCCAACAGGATGAGAGGCTGGCACGGATTTTCTTTCAGGTTTGTGTTGAGTCTTTCATTGATGGTCATTCTCAATATAGTCTAATGTTTGTTTTTTCTTTCTGCCTCCTATCAAACCATCATAACCTCATTGGATATGGGAATTCAATGTTGCTTTAACTTATTTTAAACATGCTTATTTTAATACCTTTCAATATGTAACAAATACCTGTTTTGATTGGGTGGTTTTTTTTAATGTGGGATAATTTATTTTATTCACAAAAATTATTTGAAAATAATCTCATTCATTATTTGGAATTAGAGATATCTCTACTTTGCTTAGTTTTTTACTCATTTTTAGTTCTTTACTCATTTTCAAAAAGTTTCTAAAAATGTTTCACATTAAATTGAATTTTTTACTTGTCTCTTTATAAGGGTGTTTTTAAAAATCGCCTTTGCCTCTGGAATTATTATTTTTTATTTTTCTGTCTTATTGTGCTCTTGCTTCTGTATTGTCTAAGTAAGTTGTTTAGTTTTTAATTGAACAATCTGAATAAAATTATTTTAATCAATAGAATTAATATTTCTAATATTCTTTCTTTTTAAATTAAACTGGCCTTGGAGATAATGAACTTGACATTTTCAACAATGTTTGATGCAAATGGATTTAACCTTGTTCTCAACCCTAAAATAATTGTTTAATTTATTGAATAATCTTGTGTCCAAATAAGAAAGTACAATTTTTTTTTATTATAACCTAGAAAGAAAAAAAAAATTCAATGTAATAATATAATAAATCAATTTGATGTCCAAAGGATTATGCTCACATTGTTTCTGTTTAAAATAATATTGAAAAATAAGTCAGGGCTATTTAAGTTTTATTGCTATCAGGTTTTTCCAAAGTGTTACTGAAATATGAAATAAAGAGCTTGAATTGGTAATAAGTTCAATTAAATGTCCAACTAAAAAATTGATACAGGTATTTAATAGCTTATAAGCCCTACCTATGAGCTCTATGACATATTGTTTCCTTTTTATTTTGTCATTTACAACTATAAATAAATTGATAGGTAGCTGATAAGAAACCCAGTATTCGAAATTAGACATCCCTTCATAAAAGCTATTATGGTCTTTAAACTTTACTGGCACTTTTTATTGTATTTCAATGCAATTTCATGTAGATAAAAAATAAATAAATGAAGAACCATAGTGTTTTAACCATAATTTATTTGTTAGATTTTACCATTGTTTGAATGGTTATCTTTATAAAGCTGTATCAGAGTTTTTGATGAGTTTTACTGTTTTACTTCTATTATTTTCCTAGTTCATCCTATGTTGTCCCTTTGTTGTGATTACATTTTGTTTATGTTGTATTTTTATTTATTTAGTACTTTGATTCAATCTTACTTTGAAAAAAATAAATTTTCCAACACCTTTGCTAAACTGTGATTTTTTTAGTTTCAACTCTTTAACAAAAGTTAATAATGGCGGCAAATTTTTACTCTCATTGTTTTTGTTATAGATTAATTTTAAATATCCGCTGTAAATGTTTCAATTAAACTACATTAATTTTTTAGGACGAAAGCGGCAGCATCAGCGACATAGCCAGAGTAGTAGTGGCAGAACTAGCAGCAGAGAGTATCAAACAGACACCACTAGAGGAGGAATGCGAGGAAGCATCAGTGTTAGCGGAAGAAGAGGAAGCGGATCTAGAGGAGCAGTTTGGCCCAGTGGACCACAGGAAAAGCAGTTTAGCGATGGAACTGCCACGGAAATCAAGTACTGCAACAGAAGATCCTGCAGCCAGTGCCGAAAAACAGAAGCAGATGAACGACATCGAAGACGAAGTTACGACGGAAACCCTGTTTTTATTCAGAGATCGCGTTCGAATACAGATCTCCCAGCCGAGCCAAGACATAGGTAAACATTTTACAGTATTTTCTGGAAGATTTCCATTAAATAGATTAACACTTAATTTTCCTATGAGATAAGACTAATGCAAAAAGTAGGTATTCTTTTTCTATATTATAAACTGAAGTTAGATCATGTTTAATAGCCAAATAGCTAATGTTTAGGTCAACAGTGTCAAAGATTGTTGTATAATGGATGATTGGTTAGGTTTGCCTATATTCCACCAATTCACTTCACAACAGGAATGGCCCACACAACATAGAATGCACAAAGTTTTTGTACAGGAAATTAAGTCCAGACATCACACATATCACCATAAAATTATAAAATCACATAATATACTCCTTCACACGGTTCACTGAAACTTTCTTCAACTGCTCATATTCATGCTTCAAGGTACTTTAACACAGCATTCATTAGGGAGAGAAGAATTTTTATCTTACAAATATTCACAGCACATTACACTTTTCTATACCACTTCTATAATATCTTTCCAGAACCTAGAGTTGATGTTTCAGTTCAAACTAAAACATGAAATTCACTGATAAAATCCATGGTATACACACCGCAAAGAAATATAGATATTCTCACCATTCTCAGAGCCTTTGGAGAATCACAGATCAATCAGGGGCTATTCACTAAATTATTCTCATAATAATCATAAGATAGACCCCAAAAATCTTTCATGAAATCGGGTTCAGCTGCTTTTTAAAAAAGTACCTTACTTAAATGAAATGTAATATGAACATAATTCTATATATCTGGCTGTACTGATTTTATTTCAAAACTAAAAAAACCAACTTGGTGTCCAAACAACATGCTTTAATAAAAAAATTTCACCCAAAATTTTAGGAGACACGCAATCACTCTCCAAGTTCCAGTGTTGAGTGATGGAACTATTCGTCGTCACTCTATCAACTTACCTGTGCCACCTGTGCTAGAATCAATGGACAATTTGATGCCACATCAGCTGGACATCAACATCATGGTCATGGGATTGGAAAGTCTGACCACTACTGCTGGGTCTGAGGCAGACCAGATGTCACCAGCAAACTCTTCTCAAGGAGACCAAGACACTGTCGGTCAAAGAATACCCAAGTCAATCATTGATATTTTAGTAACACCACCAACCAGTGAAATTTGAATGGATTCAAAACATAATCATCTTCTGGCAGAGTTCCAATAAATAACTTGCTGTAAAACAGTAGTCATTTGAATAAAGTATTGAAAATGCATACCTTAAAATACATCACCATAATTTGAATCTTAAAAAATAACCTTTAAATTTAATTTTCCTGCAGTGATAGGTTTTTCTAATTAGTCCAAATTTTCCACAATATATTTGATAATGAAGTATTAATAATTTAAAAAAACAATGCCATATTTCTATGTTAATCTGGAAGACAATTCTTTTTATTTATGCTTTTGTCCCCAAACATCCCATTTCAAGTAAGTCATTGACTTTTAATGTATAAACTTTTTATTCCTGCATCTCATTGTTGACTCTGTGATCACAATCCTGAGTGCAATTATTGTTAGTCTTGGAGAATTTGCTTTGGAATATATTTTCATATCACAAAGAGACAAAATTGTTAGTAAAGTATATTTATAATAGTTTGCTTATTAAATAAAATATAGTCATGTATTGTATGCAACATATTCTCATTGTGATAAATGTTTGTTGGAATAAATGATGAAATTATTGCTCTAGACATTAAGTTCTGTGCAATCTGTAATGTAGTTTGGTTGAAATACTGCACTAATAGCCTTTCATATAATGGGTCCTTGCTCCCTAATCAGACCTTATGTCTCACTTGATATATGAAGAGCATCTAATAATTTTATATCTTACCTGTGCGTCATTCAGCCTTCCTTTCCTAAGATCAGTGGTGTGCAACAGTTTTTTAGCCAGGCCTGCCTGAAATGGTGCTTTATTTAGAAAACCCCCGTATCCCTTGATTAAGTAAAATACATTTCTTAAAGAATGATGTTTCAAAATATATTTTTAGGGCAATTTTCCTTTACACTATTAAATCATATTTATCAATTCATTCAATATGTCATAATTTTTAATCCACCTTGAACTTTGCCAGTATATACATAAGTTATGAAATAAAAATGTAATATTACTCGAGAATGAGTAGGCTATCAGACAAACACTGTTATGTTTAAGATTTCAAATGAGTTTCTGATTTTTGTTTTGCACACCACTATCATAAGTTAAGTTATAATAAGGTATTGATGTATCTGTACACATTATTGTGAATAAATAGTTCTATAAATTTTTACGCATTGGTGATAATGAAATCTAAAAAAGAAATTCTGTGTTGAATTGATAATGTTATTCTTAGCTCAGGCACTATTGCCCCTTCCATAGCAGTGAAAGCAGTAGCTTGTTGACATCTATGCAGATTATTGGCTGTGGAAGAACTACTGTTGTAAAAGTTATTCACTGTATTTTTTCACAAGATTGTCCAATACAGTTTTTTTTTGTCCAATACAGTTTTTTTTAGATACATATCTAACTTAGTTTGTCTTAGACTGAAATCAAAGTAGTACAAGTGAAGGTAAAAATTAAACATTTTACTTAGATGTGAATAGTAAATTTTAAGAATTTAATTCATCACACATTCAGAGTATCCCCATTTATAAATAATGGAGGTCTTTCAGCAAAAAATTATCAACATTACATTTTTTTTCTCTTAAACAATTGTTAAATTGATGGGTTTTTTTTTTTAATCATTGTTTCAAACTGATAAGACATTTTTGGGCACATTCTGAAGTTTAAGGTTAAATCTAGATCAGTTTAATCATGAGAAATATCAATATCAAATCCATTCCAGTGGAAATAAATCTTTGGCTAGCCAAGCATTTATATTTTTATCATTAGCTTTATTTCACTGTGAACATCTTGGCTTTTAACTCATTATATGTACACATCTTTAATCTTATAGTTTACAGTCAAACATAATCGATGCTAGTTTTTTTATTGGTATTTTATAGACTGATTGATAAACAGATAATAAATTTTGTGTTTTCTCAAAACTGGATTTCATTTGTATCAACTCATTTAAATTTCAACACTTAGCATATACCTGTGCTTATTTACAGTGTACACTATAACCTATTTGTGTTTGTTATGCAATGTTTCATCTTATTGTTATACGAGACTTATGCATATATTTGTTTATTCATTTCCATAAATTAGAGCAATACTTGAATACATTGCACACAAATGCATTGTAATACAGGATATTTCTAAGCATTTTAAACATGTGTTGGTAAAAATAGTTAAATAATATAACTGAACACATTAAGTAATGGAAATAATCACTTAAGATGCAAATAACAGTCAAGGAAAATTTACCAAATCATATATGAATGTTTTAAGCCTTTAGTAGATAAGTAGAAGAAATAATTTAATTTTAGATTTAACTGAGAGAAAAAAAAAATTTTAGGATTTTAATAAATTATTTTTTCCTTTATTAATCCACCACATTTAACAATAAGAATTTTTTACAATTATTTTAGACATGTAACAGTAGTATCTACCAGTCAACGAATCTTGACATATGTGAACATTTGCTTGGGGTAAAAATCTTACATATGGATTTACGTTACATTGATATGGTATATCACATGATAATCTAGTCTAGCCATTCCTGAATTTTTCTTGGTCATGAAATATACATTTGTTTTGATTTGATTTTACAGCTGTCTGTCATTGACTATGTTGGTCATGCAGTGGGATTTTTGTTAAGGTTTTACCCAGTTTTTTTTTATAAGATAACTTTCTAGTCATTTTTACAACAGGGCATGAACAGCTCAATGTGAGCTTTTTTTTATAGCTTCAAAATAAAGTTTATTAATTTTTTTACCATAAATGTCCTTTCCCATTTTTCTTAATTTAATTCACTATTTCAAACTCCCCACTTATTACTTATAATAAATTATACAAAAGTGACAATTTTAAATGTAGTGTCTAGCAACCTAATTTGCCATTTAAAAATATTGTTACTAGAAGTTTTTTTTATTATTTGGTACTTTACTTAGGTCTAAAAGAGCTTAAATTTCTTTCTAAAAAATCATGTTATATGGAGATTTCAGAAACATCCAAGTACTTTTATTATAGAACATATTAAGATAATTTATAAATCATTAATTTTTAAATAACAGAAGATTCACCTAAATATTAATTCTGCAATGAAGAAAGAAAAATATATATGCAATTTTACAAGATAGGAAACTAGGAAACAGTTATCAAATTAAAGTTGACTAAACTAGAGAGAAATTTGAGGGACAAAGTTTTTTTTTTTTTTTAAATGTGTCGAGAATATTTTGTCAACAAATGCTGACTGTACACAATATAAATGTCCTAAATATCTGGTTTTAAATCATAGAAAAGTATACTTTAATCTGAAGAGATGTATATGAAGTAAGATAGCAGTAAAATGTTTTTTTAAACCATATTTAATCCTTTAGGTTATTAAATTTTTCTAAAGCAAATAATATAAAACATTAAATATCACAATTTATTCCTACTTATTTATCAGTTGGAAAAGATAACATTGAAAATTACAAAAATATTTCATTGATTGAAGATATCATGAAACTTTTTAGAAGTGATACATGTATTTAGCAATATTTTATCTTGTACTTGTAACCATTTCTTGTGTGCTGTATCTCAACTTTCCCAGTTTACACTACATTTCATCATATTTTAAATAACCTTAGCATATTAAATAACAAGTTGTAACTGAAAAGCTAAATAATTACGTGATCAAACGCACAAACTTATCTTCATTTAAGCATTCACAAGTTTGTTTTCTT